ATGAGGGAGGGAAGGAAGGAGATGAGGAAGGAAGGAAGGAAGGAAGGAAGGAAGGAAGGAAAAAGGAGGGAAGGGAGGGAAGGAAGGAAAGTAGGAAGGAAGGAGATGAGGGAGGGAAGGAAGGAGATGAGGAAGCAAGGAAGGAAGGAAGGAGATGATGGAGGGAAGAAAGGAAGGAAATGAGGAAAGAAGGAAGGAGATGAGGGAGGGAAGGAAGGAAATGAGGAAGGAAGGATCAGGCAGAATTTCAATTGCATCATTATGGATGGTATCTTGACTTTTTTAAAACCATTTTATATGAACATCCCCAGGAAGATTCTTGCTTTCTGGTCCATTTGCCTAAATTTTCCTCTTCGATTTTGAAAAATTTATTTTCCATTCCTAAGAGCGCTATAAGTGTACCCAGCTACATTTAACAGGGATGTAAACATACAATGTACTCTAAATTGAAAAACTACTTAGTGCAGTGAATGATTTAATCTCTTTAGAAGGATTTTTTTTTATTTGATCCACCCTTATAATCAGGTCTTTTAATGTTAAGTTACCAGCCAGTAACCATTATAGTTAATACAAATACCAAAAAAATGGGTTTCATAAACTGAGTGGGAAACAGTTGAGAGAAGTCAATATTAAGGGTAATTCTCCTGCAGGTCACGAAGGCCGGATAGGCATGGCATCCCTACGACTAGCAGAAAGTTGTGATTTTGGTGGAGAAATTCTCTACAAGCATGCAACAGATTACTTGCCACTTTATGCAAGACCGTATTTCGTGAGGATCCAGGTAGGTGATCTTCCATCCATACCCATCTCACAATTGGATAGAAAGTGGCGGTCTTTGCATTAGAAGAGAACAAGAACCACAATTTTCATGGAGGATGCTGTGTTCCCTTGTTTGAAAGATCTCAGAACTTGTGTCTCTCCCATTGTGTTGTAATACAGGGGGTCCTCAACTTATAATCATTCATTGGGTGACCATTCAAAGTTTACAACAGCTAATCACTGCTGGCCAATGATTCCCAAAGGCTTCTTCTCCTGATGTCCTGCAGGGGTCAATTCTCTGAATTCCCAGCACCCAGGCTAGATCAGTCTTTCTCAACCTCAGCAACTTTAAGTCGTATGGACTTCAACTTCCACAATTCTGGGAGTTGAAATTCAATTCAATTCTGGGAGTTGAAATTCACACTTCTTGAAGTTGCTGAGAATGAGAAACGCTGTCTTATATAGTTCAACTTCCAGCATCTCTGAAGGATGCCACCTTCAAGGAGACTTCTTTTTTTATATATATACATAAATACTTTATTGGTTTTTAACAATAACAATCTCCAGTGCCTGGCGTACAACGTGTTGTCTTGGTTTATATTTTAACAAGAAAAAAAAGACAATAATAATTAATTAACAATCTATAATGATTAAGTTTGATAATTCCATAATTAGTATATTAATTAATGATACATTTCTTTGATCTTCCTTTCTCCCATTTATATTCTCCTTCTTCAACCTTAACCAAGATATAATTCTTAATATTTTCAATCTATAAATGATGAGATATAGGCATTTTTATATTTATACAAATAATAATAATCTTCAAGAAGACTTCTGAAGGTCCATCTCAAAAATCCTTTCCAGATGTCAAGAATAGCCTTTCATTGGCCTTGGGATTATTCTCTAATGATGGGTTATTATTTGATTAGTTGCATAAAGGGGAAACAAAAATCCTTATGTTTAGAAAGGAAGAATAGAGTCATTACACAACTTATCGTTGCTGTGCTGTTTCTTCTTGTTTTAATAGGATGCTATTGAGATCACGGGAACATTTAAATACCGGAAAATACAGTTAGCAGAAGAAGGATTCAATCCAGCAGTTGTCAAGGACGCCTTATATTTTTTGGATGATAAAGAGAAGACCTACATACCCTTGACAGAAGACATATATAACTCAATATGTAGCAACAGATGGAAACTATAGTGCTCCTGAAATTGTTACTTTTTTTAAAAAAAAAAAAGTATATTGTTCAATAATTTTAGAAAGTGATGGAAAATTGATTTTCAGTCCAATTGCACATTTATGCCTAGATTTTGAAATAGCCATGCCTTACTTATTTTGTCAATATTTTAGAGATAGTGCTGATGACTTTGGAACAAAGTTCTTCATCCACCTCCAGACTGATCTGCTAATATTATATTCTCCATGCTTTGGAATCTTTAAAAGTTAATAGCTTGTGTAACTGTAGACTGGGAGCTGTCGGAATGGTTCCCATTTGAACAGAATAGGATAGGATAGGATAGGGTAGGGTAGGGTAGGGTAGGGTATAGAATAGAATAGAATAGAATAGAATAGAATAGAATAACAGAGTTGGAAGGGACCTTGTAGATCATCTAGTCCAAACCCCACCCAAGCAGGAGACCCTACACCATTTCTAACAGAAGGCAGTCCAGTCTCTTCTTGAAAGCTTCCAGTGATGACGCTCCCACAACTTCTGAAGGCAACTTCTGTTCCACTGGTTGATTGTTCTCACTGTCAGAAAATTTCTCCTTATTTCCAGGTTGAATCTCTCCTTGATCAGTTTCCATCCATTATTCCTTATCTGGCCTTCAGGTGCTTTGGAGAATAAGTCGACCCCCTCCTCTCTGTGACAGCCCCTCAAATATTGGAAGACTGAAATCATGCCTCCCCTGGTCCTCCTCTTCACTAGACTAGCCATGCCCAGTTCCTGTAAACGTTCTTCATATGTTTTAGCCTCTAGTCCCCTAAACATTTCTGATTATGTGCAAGAAGAGGATGTTCCCATCCCTCAAGGTAATTGCTGAGTGGACCAACTATGTAACATGACTTTTGTAGCAGATACTCTGAGCAATCCTCAAACATTCCTCCATCTTATTATCTTGGAATTAGGGAGCCCTTTTTCAATATTAAGTCTTCTTCTACTTCTGAAACACATCATGTTTGCCAACTTCTTAACTCACCACATCCATGCATCCTCTACCATGACAGAATGACTGTTTACTTGCTGTGTAAGCTGAAGATCTCCGTGTAAGTCAGAAAGAGGTGCACTTTGTATATTACTTAAAAGTCACTCTGGATGCACCTCTAACCTCAACTTCCTCCGAGATGGTCCTATAAAAATGTTCTGCCCATTTTTATTATGCCAGTGAGACCATAAGTAGTTTAATCAACACTCTTCCATCGCATTAATCTTTGCAGTGTCTATTATGCTTGAACATCTCTTGTTGTTTCCATCCCTTTTTCTAGAATAATCTTGGGATGTCTGCAGGGTATGATTAAAAAAAAAATTAGGATGGTGATGGTGGTACAATCAAAGTGCCTATTTTTTATGTTTTTCATTTGCGCTGTCATGGTTACCGTCTTCATTTTTTTAACCGCACTCTTTGGACACCCCTGTTGAGGGTAATTATTAATAGTTGTTCCAAACTGATTACGTGTCTCACTCAAAGGAAGACAATGGGTAGTATCTGTTGAATGTTCGTATTTGCCGTGATTTGTGGCTTAGCTTGAATTCGACTAAGAGGAAGTTATTCAATAAAAACATGTCTCAACGTATAGTGTGGATCAAATCAATACGAGAAAGTGACCGTCTGAAATGAAAACTGAAACTCTAGATGCCAAGATTAAATATTTTATTTACGTTATGAACTTACTCAGTATACAAAAAAAAAATAAGATCTGCAATTATGTTATTTCTGGGCCATAAGTTATTACATTGCATAAAAATAATCAGACTTTGGTTGTCCTTCTGTGGAGGAAAGAAGCTCTGAAGAGCTAGATAATAGTCTGAAGAGGACAACATGGCAACTGGAGACCGCACTGAATAGAGCATTCCGGAAAACTAGGCATGTGGTAAAACTGGGGCGGTTTCTTCAGATCTTCTTTCTTGATCATCAGGAGATCTTTGGGCAACCTGGAAAGGAATTTCTTGCCAACACAAGGTCTGTTCTCCACAGGGCTGTCCAAGCTGAAGGAACGGACGGTTTTTTTCTTGTTTTGAGCTGATAAACTCAGGACAGAAGGCAAGTCACAGCTGGTCAGACGTCGGCCATTTTCTGTCAAGCACTCATGCAAATGAGGCTCTTTGGCCATTGGGATGTATTCGTTCAACAGTGACAAAGAAGAGTTGAGGGACCCTCTCCGAGGCTGGGTAGTTATCCTGCTGAAAGGAAAAATTTTGCCTTTTTCTTTCTCTGTGAAAATAGGAGGAGTGGCACCCGCTGCTTTTGAACTGGAGCTGATTAATTGCCTGGGGATTTGGGCCTTCTCCTCCAGGATGAGGAGAGATTGATTGGAGACGTTCACCGCAGTCCGTTGGATGAGGGCCCAGTCTTGTTGAATATCCTCTCGGGTGGTGAACTGAGAAGTTACCGAGAAGCGAATGATCAACTTCTCCTGAACTGATGCCGGGATGACAAACAGCTTTCCTGATTTGTTCAGGTCTTTTAAGAGCTTCTCGGTCATCCAGTTGGGGCCCTGTTTGTAAAAGACGGAGCTTTTCATGACAGCCATCGAGAAAGAAACGTTCAAAGATACAAACGCACGTACCACTGACAGACATTACTCATCCTGCTGTGCCTTCTTGCCGTTTCACCGTCATTCCAATCAAACATTGATGGTTAGGGGACGCTCTCTTTTCCCTTGCTAAGGTCAAAATGTCCATCAACCATCGAGTTAAGCTTCAGGGTCAAAATGGGCCTGCTCACATTTTAATGCAAACTCTTATAATTTTGCCCTTTTTAGACCCAACGTCTCAACAAATCTTTCCAAAATTCCCAGTTCCCCAAATTCTGCCATTCAGTTTTCCAATCATGCCTTTTAAAAAAGGTATGTATTAGGGAAAGGCACACACACAAATTATTTAGCTTTTTAAATCCCAACACTGATGTACCGCTCCAGTCAAATTACTCTGGGGGTGGTGGTGAAGAAAAGAATCTTAAAACATCTGTTTCCCTCAGACAAGAAGTAAAAACAAAATCTAGGCCTGAAAGCCAAATCAAAAAGCACATGACACTGAAATTTGCAAAAATATTGTTAACCAAACGTGATACTAATTTTAATAGGTTTTTTAATTAAAAAAAAAACCCTCATATTTGATAAACTAATACTGACCTATGAGCAAATATCAGAGCTGAAAAAACACTGAGATTAGCCCATTTCTAGTTTGCAATTACTGTATATGTTTCATTGCATCTGCCCATAGTTTACTAAACTTGTCTGTTTTCCTCCCATTTCAGCCTTGAACCAAGTGTGACAGTCCAGCTGTCCAGATTTCAGGCAACG